AAAAAATTCTGTGTCAGCTGCTTAAGCTTAACGTCAGTGTCGTTCTTTAAATATAAAATGCGAATTGTTACAAAGCACGCAAGTCTTTGTCTTTTAACTCTTTCCTTGATAATTCATAAACTAGACAGATAAATTAACTAGAAGACTAATCGTCGAGAATTATTACATTATAGTAAAAAAAATTTAAACTTTTCGGCAAATCGCCATTGTATCTTATTTCATTCACTATTCATTTTGTCGCTATTATATTTCAGACGCAACAGACAGCAATAAAATCTTATGCGAATGGACAATTGCGCTTAAGAATTGCTTTTTATTCGAGCGAACGCGTCTTTTATGGAGCTCCTGTTTTCGATCGAGCCGGATAATCTCGATAAGAAGCGCATCGTCTCGTCAATATTGATTTAAGAATAATTCAGAATGATAAGACTAATTCAGAAAGAAATAAAAGAATGATTCTTGTTTATAAAATAATTAATTAATAAGTTGACTTATATAAGAATTAAAAAATATAGCACCAAAAATGTGGCGATACAACCTCAATAAATCTTTTGAATATTCGAAGCAGAAAACTAACGTAATACTCTTATGCACAATCAATATTTACTCTTTTTCAAAAAATATTGCAGCACAAGAGCAGCACGCAAATACAATACACGCACCGTTGTTATATTTAGTTAACAAAATAAATTTAAATTAATATTAGTATAACTTTTAGTAACGTGCAACTTTCTCGCAAATTATTAATGGTATTGAATATAATATTTAGGTATACAATTCATTTTATATGTGGAATATTAACAAATTTCAAAAATTGATAAGAATATAATTAAAATGCGTTCTATAATAACAATTTTATACGAATGTAATTACAGTATTGATGATCATTTGCAGGTAGGCATATATATGCAGTTACGCAATTCAATTTAATTACTTAATTTATATCGCATCATGTGCAAATATGGATGCTTCGTAAATGTGAATATTATTAATGCGCTTTGTATCTTCTAAATAATTATTGGCAATACTTTGAGAACAGGTTTACATGATTTAATAAAAATCTATAAGTATTCACAAACAAAAATAGATTCTCTCAACACGTTAGGTATCGCGTCTTGAGGAAAGCTCACGGTTGTAGTACGTATTTCACAGGAAGAAGGAAGCCATTCGCGATGCCAGCTGAGAGGAAGGAAGCGATTTAATGCGATCTCTTGGATCATTTTTCAATGCACGCTACGCGAAGATGTGCTGTCTATTAATACGTAATCGGTTTTATGACATCGCGAGTCATCGTGAAACGCCATTTGGAACTCGCATCGACTCTTGCAAAGTGGAATGCTTGTGCAGGACTGTCAGTACAATTTTACTTACTGTAAACAACACATATACGCAAGAAACTAAAATAGATTCTTAAAAAAATGTTATTCAAATAATTTTTGTTCATCATATTTAAAAAATTGTAATATTTTAATATTCATTTTCGTTCTATAATCATTTTGCCATAGTATTTTTATAATGTTAAAAATTAATATTATAATGTAAAAATAAAGTAAAATATGTAGGTACTTATATTAAAGAGAGATCTTTATAAAATACCATAAAAATTTAAAATTATGTTTACAAATAATCTAACTTAAAATAAATATCTGTCTTTAATATGTAAAATAATAAACATTAAAAATACAAACGATAAATAATTATAAATAACTTACCCTCATATATATTTCAGAATTTTTAAAAATCGAAATGATTCTTTTAAAATCCAATTATATAACTGTGAGTTATTTATAATTGGATTTGAAGTTTGCATTTTTTTTATACATTAAAAATATGTTTTTCTTTTTAAATCAGATTTTTAGTAAATATAATTCTAAGTTTTTACAGTCAAAAATCTATCTTTAATGTAAGTATCTAGTTATTTTTGTTTTGCTTCTATATATTAATTTATATATTTGTAGATATTGTTATAGTATTCAAATTAGTGGGATACTTTATTTTTTTTTAATACTGTCTTTTCTATTTATTTTGATACCGTCCATTACAGACTAAAATGTAAGTGAAGCTCTCTAGTGCGCTTAATCTTATTACCACAGTTTGTTTGTTAGTTACTTCCTCGTTTATTAATAGTAGCATGTTCTCTTCGTACCATATTTATCTGACTGTCTCGGAAGTACATCTTCACATGGACATCTGCATAAGCAATCGGAACCGGAACCGGGCGCGGATGTGCACACGCGTGTATGCGCAGCGACGTGTATGCAGAACGTGCCGGTATAAAAGCTTAGAAAATACGCTGGTAAGTTGCAGTTCTCACTTGGCCGCCTCAAATATCGTAATGGTGAAGATGACTTTCAAGGTAGAGTGTCGAAACTCGTCGCGACGGAAGGAAACGTGACGCGGATCAGAGAAAGTGCTCGTTAAAGAACAGCTCCGCGACACAGAGACGAAAAGATAGAAACAGATATAGAAAGAGATAGAAGGAGAGGAAAAGAAAAAAGAAAGCAGAAGGAGAGAGTGAAATATAAAGGGTTAAGAAGGGAATAAAGGTGGAGGGCGATGGATTCTAAATTGCCATTAATTAAGCACGCATAATTGGCCCGGTAATACGTGCTTGGAAGGAAGTAAATAATTCGACACTGGGAAGGTATAAGCTCAACGCGGTTTTCTCGGAGACCTAAGCAATGTCGTGAATGTAAAATGGGATTAAAGTGTTCCTTGACATTAAGTCTACTCGATGTAATTAGTTCGTTCAGCTGGATTGCCACGAGCGTAAGTTTTTGCAAAAGATATAGTGTCCGTTTCACAGCGGAGCTGGGCGTGCTCAAGAGATAGGTAAGGATTCTGGGGTTGAACTTCATGAAAATTAAAAAGTGCACGCTGACTTTTAACAAACGTTTCTCTTTAATTGTATTAAGCGCTCGTTCTTTTGTGCTTGGCTAATCTTGAAGTCTTCTCAACCTCAGAGGTCTTATGTTAGTTGTTTTATTATAGCTAAGAGCTTCTATTATTTTCTTACGTACATGTGTGTGTATACGTATACCAGTGAATACATTTTCTGCTTATATATTTTAACGAACTCGCGTTTTACTTCTATTGTGAGAAAAACTGATATTAAGAGTCACTAAAGCTTTTAAATTAAGTTATTATTCTGATGATAATTGTGTAAAATTGTTTATTATATTCAACTTGTTTATTATATGCTACAAATTTTGAGCGAATTATAATGTAACATTTATATATGACTTTTTGATAATGTTACATTAAGTATACATGATATTGTGAAGTTTCTCATAACTCGACGAGTGCATGTAAAACCTTACATAGTACATTTTAACATGCACATATTCTATCTCTTTTCGCATATATTCTACTATATTCCTAACTTGAGCGTATACTTATATATGCAATAACGCAAACTGTACTTCTCCACGTGCATTTTACATATATAATCATTATGATAAAACAGTGTCTGCATGTTGCATTAGTTTTGACAAAATTTACATAAAATAAAATGATAATTTATGCTTGTATCTTATTGCTAGTAACATAGTCAATATTTTCAATCAAGTATCAATTTTGAATAATTTACAATATATTATGTTTATCGTTTTACGTTGCGTGTTCAATCTTGCTCGAAGAGATAATATAACAATCTGCTGATTACATCAATTTATAATTACAAGTTAAAAGATTTTAATATCAAGTGAAAAACTTTAATTTTTAGTCGCGGAAGCTGATAAAGCAGAAATCAGTTTCACTAAAATATCTAAAAGTTTAGCTAGATATAAATCTGAAAGTAATTCTGTTTGGACTACCAAAATATTGTAATTATGCAGGACACTCAAACGCCTCAAGCTATGTAGTTGCTGGAACGTTAAAACTTGTTGCAGCATTGTCATCACGCTCAGGTTCCCTAAAAAAATTATTATGATGGTCCAACAAAATTATTTTCAGATCTGTATCCAGCACAATGTCAGGTCTTTTAACATAAAATCGTACTTTTCATGTAATAATGTTAAAAAAATTAGGATTAATTTAATTAATCTCTTAATTTTTAATTAATTATATAAAATGTATTACGCCATTTATACCGAAAGAACGATTTTGAAGTATCTAAAAACTACAAACTAGATACAGATTTAAAAGTAGTTTTGCTGGACCATCAAAATAATTATGTAAATAATTCAAACATAATAAGCAATGCTGTCAAAAGTTTTAACATTCTGATAATTAGCTTGAACGTCTTTTTACATAATTACTTTATGCAAATTTGTACAGCTAAATTTTTAGATATTTCAGCAAACTCGTTCTTTTTGTGTACGAGCAAAGACGAAGAAACTTTTCCCGATGAATCGTACGTTCATTTCGCTCTTTCAATCGAATCACTTCCTCCATCGTATTGGTTTACGTTGGTTTGAACATTGACGACCGAGCTGTCGGGATCCCCGTAATTAAAAACGAGAGGTCGATGACCCGGCCATCGCTACTCGATGTCGACGTATATTGTAAATGTCTAGAGTTTCATCATGGGATCGAGTGTGTTTTGTATACACAAGCGACATCGATCGTATAGATCACGGTTACATTTCCGTGCAATTTTGACTCATCCAACATATTTTACCAGCTTGAAATATTCCACCTTGTTTGACTGTTTATACAGGCGCACGAAAAAAGTATCTGACATTGGAACACATAAAAATGTTTAAATCACATCTTCCTTCGCTCGGCAATTCCTTCCCGTCAATCGATTTTATTTTGCAACAAAATTTTTTCTAAAAGAAGCTTTTTCCCCATAAATAAGAAAATCGCAATGGACCAGGAAAATTACGAAGACGGGTAAATATATCCAGCGCTCATGTAAATGAACTCTTCGGTTCATAACGCGCGCTATTTACAATCATGATCGATAACTACCAGAGCATCGAAAGCCCCTTCCGCCGTGTCCAGAGGTGAGTTCCCGGACAACACGACACCATCGACATGAACTTCTTGTGTCGCAGGTCACCGTCGCACTAACCATTGGCCTCGCCCTGGTCGATCGATCAATCGCCGGCGTGATACCGCTGGACCATCATCATGTCTCGGTGGCTAGCTCGTACATGCATTTTCAAGGGCCAGTACAGGGACCTGAATACGAGGTGAAAGTGCCACACGTACCTTTGGACCATCTCAGCGAGCACAACTTTTTGGGCCACCACGAGCTTCCCCATCACGACGGTTACACGGTTGACTATGTGGCGAAGCCAAAGTACGAATTCTCATACGGCGTCGAGGATCATCATACTGGCGACTTTCACGGCCAGAAGGAGTCCAGTGATGGTAAGTGAAAAAGGACGAGTCACTTTTATGCTTCCGTGACTTTCGCGGGACGACAACGCGACGAGCCGAGTCCTCGAATGGCTGGCTACCTGTGGCTACGGTCGTTTATCCGATTTCCACCGGCGCCAGCACGACGTTCCGCTGACGTTGGCAAAAATTGCCATGGGTGAAAAGAAAATTGCATTTCTGCGAAGACTGTCCACGAGCGCACCCTCCGACACATCGAGAATACACGAGCAAGTATGCGCGAATGCTTATGCGTACGTGTATGGGTGTGAGTGTGTGTACATTCGTGTCAACTCTTCAGTTGGAACTACGTTTTCTTACTTGAGTTGTGAAGTTGACTCGAATTGTAAACTGACTTCAACGGCACATCGGTACGATACTGTACAAGCGTGCCGTGTCGAAATATAAACTTACCTCAAAATAGAACAAACTTTACAAATGTATTCCTTAATCAAGTTGGAATCAATTCTTCTTTAGTGAAAGAAAGCTTTCAATTTTTTAACTACAAGCGACTGAAAAACATTTCGGGAATTACGCTTCGAAAATTCAAATAAATAAAAAAGGTTTTCATCTGCGCTTTAAGCAAATTTTATTCGAACAGAATTTTTTGAGTTTTAAATATGTCACGGTACGTAATATAAATATTTAAAAAATTATGAGAGAAGAGCGTTCCTTATTAAACCTTCATTCTAAAAAATTAGTTTTGAATTAATCAAAAGATACGTATGCAAAGATTCAAACATTTTATTTAACATTTTGCATAACTACGTAAAAGTGGAATTATTTAAAATTATATATATAATATATTGAGATAACTAAACATTGCGCGCGATTCTAATAAAATAGTTTTAAAATAAATTTAAATTTTTATTCTTATGCATAACAATTGAAAAAGCAAAGAAATAATAGAAATTAATAAATAATATTTATATATAGGTTGCTCTAATTCTGGAATTATTTTAGTCATTAGAAAAATTTGTTTCGTTAAACAGAATTTTTCTATAAAATAATTATTGATAACATAAAAAGTTATTATTAACCTCCCGTCTGCAATCTGAATTTTTTTTGGCACGAGCGAAATTTCACTTCCAAACTTCGAAATAAAAGAGAGTGGAATCCAGTTCCCTTATTGCTACGTTATACATATTTTAACAAATTTTTACTTTTACCTCATTTTTGCTAAAATTTCAACTTTTATTGAATACAAGCTTTAACATTTGGGTTAAAAAACTATTTGATAATGTAATAGGGAAGTTAAAAAATTACCCTGAATTTTTCCATATTTTTTAAAAGCTTGAATAGTAAAAAACTTGGGTTGGACAAAAAAGAGGCAGATTGCGAGCGAAGAAAGTAAAAATATAATAACATCAAACGAAGAAGATTTAACCATTTTTCTACCTCCTGTCACGATTATCCACAATCTCGAACTGCATCAAGAAACTCCTTTCTACCTCTTGAAGGCTATTTCTTTCACGCAGGACACGGCGTGACCGGGGAGTATACCGTGAAGGATCCAGGTGGTAGCCTCCGGGTCGTCACCTATCACGCGGACAAGGAGGGATTTCACGCAGTAGTACACACTACCGGGAAGAATGATCATTCAGGCGGAGTCTACGGCGGTCAAGGACATGAGACCCAAGACCATCTACACGAGTACGCCGCGTTATCCGCGCACGCTGCAGCGTTCTGAAAGAAAACTATAGCGACCACCATGACAACTGGTGACTGATCGCTTTTGTATGTACCTGGCACAATTAGACTTTTCCTTTCCCGAATCGTCAACGTTGATGTTTCCGTTTTGTATACCAAAGGTAACAACGGTGCTATCCGTCCGACATTACACGCAAGGATAACGTATCGTATATATTTGTAAATATATAGTTTATCCCTCTTATACACGATAAACGACATAAACATGATGGAAAAATACATGTTTATCCCTTTTGTGTTATATAGGCAGCAGTATGCCCTGCTTTTCCAGTATAGAAAATTATTGACAAAATGTGATAGACACATAAACTATATGAATAAAAATTTACAAGATTAATAAAGGTTTCCGATGAATAATTGACGTTTCACTTAATTGAAGTAACGTGACCGAAAATATTTTTTATTATGTACTCCTATTCTTTTATGCATAAAACTCTTTTTATATTTATCGAAAACCTTTTAATTGATTAACATTTTAATCGAGCGCTCGAGTTTATTTGAAAACTCCCGTTGAAATGAGTGAAAAGTTAAATATACAATATAAGCCACCCACAAGTTATAATTACTCAATTTGCGAGAATTTCTGCGCTTTACTAAAATTACTCGATGGCCCGAATTCTGACCGGATTCGTTAAAAAAAAAAACAATACAAAATATTTGAAAAATATAAAATATTTCTAAAAATACAATAAATTGATCATTTTGTAGTCCCAATTACAATATTTATTATCGAATTTATTTTTGAAAGGATATTAACAATACTATTGTTTACATAAATTTTACATACTTTTATGAATTTGACAGACATTAAAAGGTATATTTTATTTCGAATTATATAGTACTTTATGGCAAAAACAAAGTGACGTGTGCCTAAGCTTATTAACTAATACAGCTGATCTGATTATGAAAGGTATACGAGAACTATGTCGCAACATATTACATAGCAGCTCAGAAAGATAAAGTGACAGTGATGATACACGCGTGGTGCAATTGCTTTAAAGTTATGTTGTAAATTATCTGTCGCATTTCAGTGGGACGCGACATAATATGCACATACTGTAATAACACGGAGGTCGCATTGTTACGAGATAGAACATCTTATTATGCGACTATCGATCATTAATACCAGGAAACTGCGTGGCAGAAGATCCGCGAGCAATACACGTAAGGGGTGGATCGTTAGGTATTGCGCACTAATAAAAATCAACTGCTCGTAACAGAGGAATACGAGTGATAACTTTTGAAGTGCGAGGAGATTCCAATCGCCACTGATTACGTGGATTATCGAGTAACGAGTGGCGCAGGGTCGATCGCTGGCGAATGAAAATCCAGGTCACAGAATTGAATTGTCCATCGAATATTATGGGCGTGCAAACTATAGAAATTATAAATTGTCGTCGGCGATGTTGTTATAAAGTAACCACGGAAAAAAAGCGCTTCTTTTCGTATGTTTAACAAAGAGTTAAAAAGCTCATTTAGATCCGCCCCCTTCTCTCTCTTTTTCCTCTTTTTTTCCTCTTTCCCTCTCTTTTCTTTCTTTCTCTTGCAGCGCACGGTTTCGTGTTACTAATATACTAACAGAAGTTCTTGTAATTACTACTTTTAAAAAAGAATAATGTTTTTAAAGTAAGCGAAAGGAGTGCGCGTTTTATTTATGAAAAAGCCACGTACTGAACATTCGCAAAACAAATATCACATACAAATAAACATCATAAAGTGATGTTTTGCGAATGTTAAACGTAACAAATTTCGAGAAAATAACAAATGGAAGGTGAGTCGAGAATGCTGTAAAACAAACCAAAAAGCAGAAAGATATGTTTTGCAAGTTGCAGAATAGAAAAATTTATATATTTTATGATTCGCAACAATCGAATATTTAAAGGCGATTCTTCTGCAGTATACAATTCGGGAAAAGAAGAGGAAGAGTCATTTAATTCGATCTTATCATGTTGGAACAGGCAAAGACGAGCACATCGTTAAACTGCATCTTGCGCAATCTCTCTGATAATAACGAAATGTCATTATCAAGAATGTTTTGAGGAAAAACACTTAATCCCATCGAGGATATTTCCGAAGCAATAGACTTAGGGGAGATAAAAGAAACACATTCTCGAGCTAACAATAGCGAACATATGCCGATGCAGAAGTGCTTGGGGAGAGGCAGAAGGTGAAAATTCGCACAACGTTAACGCTCCAAATATTACGTATATTACGTCATTAAATCGATATCGATGTTTTCGATAAATATTCGCAACACACGTGTTGCAATAAATCGGCAATGTACATTTCAATAAGTGAACGAATCTCATATCGATAAGACTAAATACCGATGGAGGAAAGTGTCTAATAATTTTATCCGCGTGTCGCTTAAAACTTACGCTCGCGTGACATATCGAAATCGCGTCCGCCTTACGTGCCTTCGTCGTTTCGAACGGTCGCGATAACGACTGTTATATGTAGATATTTCGGGGGTGTTTCCAATTCCTGAGAGCCGCCTACAGCAATTTCCGCAATATCGCGCGAGCTACTAATTACTGCTGGCATCGCGATGATTATTGCTCCCGCTGTTCGCACCCTCAACAAATCGCTCGTGATCGAGCTCCCCCGCTACCGCGACGTAAATGTCGTGTGCTGTCTGACAAAGGAGAGTTTACACGGTTTACCTCCGATCCAGCCGCGTTTACGAGAACCCTCTAGAGAACATTCTAGAGTGAATTTCGCCTCATCAGCATTACCAAGAATTTCGTAATATTCGAAAATATAAATGTTGTAAAAATTTAGAAAAATTAGAAAAATTTCACGTTATTGTTAATGGATAATTTTTATTTTCCTGTAGTTAGTAATTAATTAAGCAAAATTATGAAAGGGGTACACTGAGAAAAAAGTGCTGTTGATTCAATTAAAGTTTATATTACGGACTGTCACTAACATAAGTGATTAATTCATGCGTATATTTTATTGACATAAAGACTTGATTATTGAAATAATAATTTATGCCTTTATGTCAATAAAAATATACATGACTTAATCACTTTTGTTAGTGACAACCCGTAATATAGACTTTAATTGAATCAACAGCATTTTTTTCTCGGTGTATTAATCAATGTAATTATAGGTTTAATTACTGTATATCGTGTAACCTTATTTGGATATAGATTTTGTACATTCTCACGTTTTATTAACCAGTTGATAACCATTGTTTACGCCTGTAGGGCGAACAAATTAATAATTCATATTGCTGATTGGAACGTACGATTGTTGCAATCAAGGTTGTCTCGTCATCATAACGAGGACGTCGTGCATCATGGTTTTATTTGCGTACTCGAAGCATTATAATAATTATAATACGAACATGTGCATTATGCAGCGTATCAAAACGTATGTACGAGTATACAGTTACGCGGATTGTAATTCTCTGAAAGTGCGTTCCTATTACAAAAGCGCTTTTAGAATAGAATATTTCCGTAAAATATATATATCTATAAAATTTTTAATAAATATTACCAGAATTTTTTGGAATTATCTAAAAAATTTATAATAAAGTACTCTTTAAAAAATTCTTTTATTTTTTTAAGTAACGTTTTTGTTAATGTTTCTTTATTAACTGTTTTATAACAAATAAAATGCCATTTACAAACTTTGACATGTCTAACACATACAGCTTTTATAATTCTCTCTCTCTAAAATATAACTTATAATACATATTCTAAAAATTGTCAGCTCATTAAAAAGATTATAACAATCTTTATATCTGATATTCAAGCTTTTTCCGGAAATTTCCAGAGGAACATATGCGGCGTGTCTTGAATATTCCAGAAAAAGAGGCTCTGCATGATGCACTTGCCATGCCGGGCTCGACTCGACCGTAAATTTGCACACGACTAGCAAGCTTGATATAAAAAAGCACGAGGTATAATTCGTCTCGCGAAACAGCAGAGAAAAGTAGACAATCGATTGGCGAATCATAACTTTTGCGAACTATTTTTCCGCGCGTGTTCGCAGTAATAAATCATTTTACGTAATACTAGCGAACCTCGTATAGTCAAGAAAGATGATCGCTAGATTTAATAATTGCACATAAATAGTAACTACAATTGTCTATCCGCCAATATTAAAACATTTTTTTATAAATATATTTTATAAATATATATATTTTAGAATATATATACACAGCTAATAAGTAATTGATACATTTTATAAATGATAAATAAGATGTTTCAACATATTTAAATACGTAAGTTTATCGTCAATTATTGAAGGAAGGATGATTATAGTCATATTAGTCTTTACATGTCAAAAAAGCTATTATGATAGCGCTGAAACAGTCATATTTTGAGGCAAAAAATACAGTGAATTAATGAATTATGACAAATCTTATTAAAAAAAGGAAGAGCTGTAAGATTTAAAAGATAAACTCTCTAAAGAGACGAGTCTAAAGGTTTCCATAATTTAGACAAATTAATAATCAAAAATATAAGAAAATATCAATTTTCTCTAATTTTAATTGTATTAAGTGTTAAACTTAATTCCTGCTGTTTTTCGTCTCC